AAATTTTAAGCAGACCACAATTATGTATAAACAATTAATTTTTTACATGTAGAGCCAACATTTTCAAAAAAAAAAAAAAAAAATACTGAACAGGAGACATACACTCGATGAATTACCAACAACTGACTGTAAAACATATCTGGTACCTCTATATATGAAATTATATTAACATCCAAAGTCCATCCTTTTTTTTTCCATATTCTGCACAAAAGAAACTTTTTGCTCCGCCCCATTAATATTGAAATGGCGGGAAATCCCTTCAGTTGCTGGGCTAATAATGTATGTTTTGTGCAGAATATGCAAAAAAGGAGGGACTTTGGATGTATTTTTTCTGCAAAATATGTAATAAAAGGATTGACGTCGAATGTTAACCTAAATGCATATATCATGCATCATAGATATAGATAGATAAATAGGTTCTACGTCATACTGCGGTCGTGTCTAGGACACAACCCTTTAATTTTTTTTTCTAGTTAATTGGTTATTCTAATGTGATGATTTTTTTTTTTTTTTTTTTTTCCTTTATTTACAAGGCTTTTAGCCATTGGCTGGTTCGCCTTGGGAAATGTGATGATTACGTTTAGCGCTAATTGACAGGATGCCCTTTTATGGGATTGTTTTCTTTTTTTTTTCCTTTGGTTTGTTTTTTCCGTCGATCTTGTTTTCCGTGCTGAGCACCAATGCTACCGACGTGCCAGGAAAGCAGCTTCCATACCATGACCCTACCTATCGACCCATCAACTCATGAACCGGGGACCAACGGCTTTACTTCCCATCCGAAGGAAGGCGTGATCAGAGATGCTATGCCTCAGAACATCCCGGCGGCGCCGACTGGTATTGATCCCAGGCCTGCTGGGGTGAGAGGTAATCACGCTTAACACTACACCACCGGCGCCGTTGGATTGTTTTCGTTTGAAAAAAAAATTTATAACCTTCCTACTTGAGCACAATAACCCTAATAACCCAATAACCCTACCTAACTACTTAAACTAGGTTGCCAAATCACGAATGATCTGGTGGTTTGATCGCAGACAGGCGACTCTGAACCTTTCCAGCGTGGAAGTCTTTCACTACTCGAGTGTTTGAAGACCGGCCAGGTGGTGGATCTCAGAATTACGAGTTCGCGGTGAACTGTTAAGGATCATTCTGAGGGTCTTGTTATGGATCCTCTGAAGCTTTAGGTGGTGGCACTTAGCACTACTCTCCTAGATTGACATACAGCAAGCTTGTTTTTGAGGAACAGGGTGGACTTCCTGTTTATCAGAGGGTAGAGCGACCTGATCAAGATGTTACACTTGGTCTTGTCCACATGGGATCGGAATAGCAATTCACTATCGAGGGTGAGACCAAGGTAGACTACTTCACTCGACCATTCAATTGGAATGCTATCAAGATGGACCTTGACGTTAGCAGGCGGAACAAGCCGAGGTGAATTCGAGTGTGGAAACAGAATGGTTTGTGTTTTAGCTGCATTGATACAAATCTTCCAGCTCTTGAAATAATCGGACAGAACATCCATGCCTGATTGTAGTTTACTCGCCAGAGCACGGATCACTCGCCCCTTATAGATGATGGAGGTGTCATCTGCGAACATTGCGTAGATCCGGATCGGACGCGTTGCGGCAAAGTGACAGCTAAATCTATTGTCTAACTGTCAAATTTACGTCAACGCAACGCAAACGGATCTAATGTGGGTGGCCCTTGACAGGATACCACCATCCAGCAGGGGAGGAACGTCTGACGTGAAAATGTTGAATAGGATAGGTATAGGAGCTAAAAATCTCCTTAATAAAGGACTAAAAAAAAAGAATATGGTAGGCCCAAGCAGGCTACCCTGAGAGACCCTATCATCAACGTGGAACGTATCAGAGGGGACATTGTTCAAGTAGACCTGGAATGATCTGCTCGACAAGTAATTTTTGATGATCTTCACGAGGTAGATCGGAAAGTTGTATCGATGCAACTTGTACACTAGGCCATCATGCCAGACATTGTCGAACGCCTTCTCGACGTCCAACAATGCCATGGCAGATGTATTGGAAACTGACTTGTTCCGCTTGATGATGTTAGTAACCGAGTTGGTAGATGGTAGAGTGGCCTTTCCTAAACCCGAATTGCTCTTTGTGAAAGATGTTATTATCATTTGAAAACACCAGCAAACTTTTAGAATAGCTTCGACATGGAGGACAAGAGGCTGATGGAGCGATAGCTTTTGGCACTGGTAGGATCTTTGCCAGGCTTGTGTATTGGAACCACTTTGGCTAGCTTCCAGCATGCAGAAAAGTAGCCAAGATCCAAACATTTGTTGAAGATAACGTTAAGATGGTTGAAGAACTCAATACTCAAGTTTTTCAACTCGAGGTTGACTACACCATCCATACCCGTGGCCTTCATGTTTTTAGTGCTTCTAACAGCTGCTATCACCTCATCAGTCGATATTTACTATCATCATGCACTACTACAGGGGTTTCAGCGACTCTAGACATTGCCTCCAGTACGGCAGGCTGATGGGGACTCACCATGGTTTGGCCAAGATTATGTCAATTCACAAAATGTTGGCCAAGAGCATTGGCCTTTTCAACTGGGGTTATGAGTAGGGGTGGGTCCGAGTTCTGGTCAACAGAGGAAAGCGGAGGGATCGGTCTCGACTTATTTTTTAAAATGTTGGTCATCTTCCAAAATGGTTTTGCACAATCTGGGAGAGAGCTAATCTTGTTGGCAAAATCGTTATTTATGAGTTCCAGGATGACCTGGATAATTTTGGTTAGCCTATTGACATCGGTCTTCAAGTGGAGCAGCCCTGAACGCTAAAACTGCCTACAAATGGTGTTCCGGAGCCTGATAAGATCTTTGGTTGGGCTGTCAAGGTTCAGAGTATGACTCACCTGTCTGAATGCTGGTACGTGTTGCTCCTTGGCACGGGGTATCGCCTCTTCGATGGCTTGCAGACACCGATCGACTTCTTCGAAAGACTCCGGTAGAACGTCGTAGTCGATTGCTGTGTCCACACAGTGCTGGTACTGCTGCCAGTTGACACGATGGTAATTTCGCCGGGAAACTTGAAACCTATTGGCCGAGGAACCTACTTCGGCCACCACCGGATAGTGGTCCGAGCTCAGTTCCTGATAGACGATAGGTTGAGAGATGTTATCGCCAATGTTGCTGATGAAGATGTCGATGGTAGCATCCTCCGGATCGACTCAACCGGGTAGGAGTGTCCGGACACAGGATTTTGCAGTGGGCTTCCTGCAGATCGTTGTACAAGATTGTGCCGTTCTGGTTACGCCGACTATTGCCCCAGGCTTGATGCTTGGCATTCAGGTTGCCAGCGATGATGAAATGTTGCCACCGTCGTGTTAGCTTGATGATGTCTCTTTGGAGGTCTGCGGCCGAGCTGTCCCTAATGTTGGTTTGCTTGGGACAGTAGACCGCGATGATGGTGATTGGACCAAGCGATGTGCTCACCTCAACTCCTATGGCTTCGATAGTTTTGAGCTGGAAGCTTGGAAGTCCCCGGCAGCTGAGGTTCCGTCTCGCAGCGATGGCCACTGAACGGAGAATCGTCGACAGGCTCACCTGAGACAGCACCAGCGTATGATAAACCAGGGGCTGTGGAGGAACCTGGAATTGGCTGGGCTGCAGCATGAGCAGAGGCACGACAGCAGCGCTGTTTTATATCATTTCAGGTTCAAGCAGCACGATGTGCAACCAAGTGGCACTCGATTATGACGACTGGGTTTGAGAAAAAAAAAGAAAACAGCGATAAAATTATCATTTGTTCATTTGTCAGAAGTAATTTAAGGAAAAATGGAAAAAAAAAATATTTAATTCAGCAGATTTTAAATGTAACATCCTATTGATTGGCTTATTTGAATTTTAATTTCTTTTTTAAATGACAAAGTTGCAAGCGTTCAAAACCTATTTCACCACACATATTTTCTGATTTGCACCCCAGTATAGTCGACAAAGACGTAGTTCTACGTCAAAAGAACCTAATACTAAAGGTTGCGTGCAGGAAGATAATTTTGTGTTAAACGGCTTGAAGTAGTTGGCATTAGACCACATAGAAACAAAGTACTTACTACTCAAACTACTCAATATTAAGATGTGCATCACTTACTCAATTTAAACTTCCCGCACGGAAGACCTTATGGTGGGTTGTTTTATTCTTCTTTTTTAACAACAAACAGTACAAATAGTACATGCAAAAATAGTAAGTTAAAAGAACTCAACCGTTGGGTAGATTTGTTTTTCCGTGCAGAACTTTGTCCGTTGGATTCTTTTTGTATCAGTTACTGTACGTCTCTAATAATCATCGCTGGTGGACTAGTGTTCGAGAGTGTCACAGTGTGTTGTTGCAGGCCCGGCTGATTCTGAAGTGCAGTGTTAACCTTAATATGTTAAACCATACTAGTCTTTTACCCTTTTATCATTGCCGCTCATTTGGTAACAGTGATGTGTATTCCGAAAATAAATATTGTAAGCAAACATGTTTTCAACAGCATTTCTAATTCATGATGTAGAATACATAAGTGTGTTTTTGAAATATTATTTACTTTCATAATGCATTGCACTGTGTGGTCGTGAGATGATCCATTTAGCTTTCATTTTGATTCTAAAAGCAACATGGCTTTTTTTAATTTGTTATTAAGGAGATTTTTAGCCTATGGCTAGTTCATCTCCGCGAAAGCAACATTGCTTTTGTTTTCTGGATAACCTATATTATTGTTTTCGTTCGAAACATTGCATAAACGCAATATTTGTTGTAAGAAACATATGCAGAGGATGTAAGAAATCCACACTAACATTGAAAAACTGTGTTCTTAGGCAGTTTTTGCTGTTATTTATGAATGCAAATAAGCATACACTTATTCTCACGTGATTTGTATTTTTTATGATAAGTTGCTCACATTAGATTCTGACCACTATTTTTTCTCTGTTGAACCCATGTTTAAGATACGAGGTATAAACAATTCCTTCAACCAAATTTTTATTTGCAGCAGAATTTGTGGCTGAAAACGGATTGCCCAGACGCCTCAGGACCGCATATACCAACACCCAATTACTGGAGCTGGAGAAAGAATTTCATTTTAACAAATATTTATGTCGCCCGAGAAGGATAGAAATTGCTGCGAGCTTGGACCTCACCGAACGCCAGGTATTGACTTACTTTATTGAAATTGTTTTTTATGTCTCTACTACGGGCATTCTTTGAACTTAACATAATATAGTAGAGCATTTTTTTAGATCAAAATTGTTGTTGTTGTCGAATTAAATGTTATTAAAATTGTGTCAAAAAAAACGAAACACAAAGCGCTGATGAGTTATGCAAACAATATTAGAAATGCATATTTTTTGACACAAATCAAATGAAAAGCCTGTAATACATTCCACAACCAAAGTTAATTAGTACTTAAGTTATCTATATACATACCAAAATAAATTTCTATCTGTCTGCCTTTTGTCTGTCTGTCTGTCTATCTGTCTGTCTGTGTGTCTGTCTGTCTGTCTGACCATTATAGACTCGGAAACTACTGAGCCGATCGGCGTGAAAAATTGTATGCAGAAGTTTTTGGGGCAGGGAAAGGTTCTTATGATGGTTTGAGACCCCCCCCCCATGTAAAGGGGGGCTCCCATACAAATGAAACAGAAATTTCTACATAACTCGAGAACTAATCAAGCAAATAGAACCAAATTTGGCATGTGAAGGTCATAGGGGGTAGCTACGAGTGGGAGGGGCTACGTACAATATAGCATGCTTTTTTTAAATTGGCGCATAATATTGCTAACATTGAATGCCGAGCAAGATCGGGCACACGCAGATAGTGAATAATAAATGACAATGCTTTTAATTTTGTTTTACTTTCATTTAGCAGTATAAGGCCAATAATACTCTCTCACGTCGTTTCTAGAGATGAACTAGCCTCAGGCTAAAAATCTCTTTAATAAAGTTTGAAAAAAAAAAATCTTATGTCGTTTTGGCTGGTGAGTATCTTTAATCCAGACGAAAAATGCCGGTACAGAAAAAAGTTTTTCTTTAGATGTAAATTTAATAAAAATGGTCTTATCTGTCTTATTTTGTAACATTTTTCTTTTTGGTTTTAAAGAATAATTTAATCATGAATAGTTTTCAAACACGAAAAATTTCTGAAAAAGGCTTCGTGCAAAATAAAATGACAAGTAGCCAGTCAATTGAAAGTGAATCCTAGACAAAATGATTCGTAGCTGGCTATATGTTGTCAACATTATATTCATCGTGATATACAGTGCGACTTAACGGGTGTTCAATAAAAAATGAGAATTGAAAAAAAAATTCAACGGATTCAGTATATTTTTATTAAAAACATAATGTTTATTCTTCAAAAAAATGTCAATGAATATTCGAGAAGGGGCCCTGGTCAGCCGTACGACGCAATTTAGTCGCGATGCTATTCCTAAATAGAGATAATAATAATAATAATAATAATAATAATAGTCGCGATGCTCTTACAAGAGCGCTGGACGGTATTGAAATCATTCTCATATTTTATTGAACACCCGTTATATTTAATCAAACAATATTCATCAAACATTACAGTAAAATTTAATGCGTGCTGTTCTGGAAATGTACGGAACAGAATATTAATCTTTTCAGCATAATGGAGCTTATGTCCACATAACCAATCTTAAGAAACGGTGGATGTGTTTAAGGCAGCGATTCCAAAGTTATGGGACGATAAATGTATATGTTGCGTGCCGCTTGTTTTGACTTCAACTGAGAGTAGATTTTATTATGTACCGTCAGTGGGTGACATTGAACTAAAACATATAGTGTTCCATAATAAATTTGAAGCATATGAATATATTCATCAATGATATATTTACGACTGGCATAGACATGGTTGAATGAAATTTAAATCTCATTTTACTTAAATCATATAGATAATGGCCCAATGTCACCCCTTATGTGATCCAATGTACTATCTCAGGCCCAATGTCACCCCGACTGCTGATATTCTACGTACAAATGACCTCTGGGAATTAAATCCGAATAAATTAAATTTCTCACAGAAATATATGGTATGGTTTTTGTACGAATTCAAGTCCAAAGGTTGTGAATTTTGTATTGAAATCAAAGACAGTAAAAAAAAAAACAACGAAACCTTACCCCCAAGCTCCTCCCCTGATCCTATCCTTTGACAATGTACCTCTCTTACCTCGGGTAAGTCGCGAGTATTCGGCCCAACTCCTACTAGACATAAAATTAAGTGAATTTTGTTACAAACAAAGAACAATGAACTATCGGTTCCGTAATGCTAACGCGATTGAACCTTCCAAATAAACGAACTAGTTAAATAAAAAATAAAGAAAATAAAAAAAAAAAAAAAATTGCAATAAAATAACAATATATTACAATACATTATATTGTTGACCGTAGGCGCCAGTGGTGTAGTGGTAAGCGTGATTACTTCTCACCCCAGTAGGCCTGGGTTAAATCCCATGCAATATATGCAGTACATATCAAGTCAACATGAAGTAAATGCGACTAATCTGTTCTCAATGATGACAAAGTGTAACCTTTTGGTGTCGATCCTATGTTATCAATTGGTTGAACTGCAACTGAGTTGCCATACAATATTGACCGAAAGTTACGACCTGTTAAGTTCGTGCGGAAAAGTTGTTACACTGAAACTTTATTTTTATGACAAATATGTTACTTGGCAAACTTTTTTTTATCTTTGTTTAAGAGATTTTCAGCTATGGCTAATGGCAAACTATTTTATTTATTTATTTATTTATTTATTTGTTCATATCATAGAACTATATAGTGTAACTATCAAACCGAGTGTACACAGAAGATTTTTTTCTTCGAATCATATATGACCAGAAATATGATAATAATTATATTAAAATATATGATGGCGCATTTATTTTATGAATATCAATTTTCCAACTTCACCGTAAATATGAAACTGCATAGCATTGGTGCTCAGTACGGAAAACAAGATCGACGGAAAAAAATCAAGGAAAAAAATATCAACGCCCCAATATGTTTATGCCGTAAAGGTACTCTGTAAAACAATATTAATCGCCAAAATTAGCCAAAAGTTATTAAACGATACAAGTTAACTTATTTATGATTGTATGTAATCCAATATTGATATTTCGTCACTACTGTGTAACTAGTTTTGTAACATTGAATTGGTTACATATCAACTCACATCTTGCGCTATTTTGGTTGCATTGCTATTGCCTTCATGGTTGCTGTAATGAATTTGGTCACAAAATAGTGGCAGCAACTTGTATGTGACAACATGTGCTACTTGAGAGGTATGGGAGCTGCCTCCCTGGCGTCGGTGCTAGGTGCACGGAAAACAAATCAAGGAAAAAAAAATGTTGACCGTTAAACCTATTGTAATTGTATAGCATTGGTCAAATGATAAAATTGTCACCATAATAGGTTAATAATAAATCAAATGTTATCAAAATGTTAAATGATATAAAAACAATAAAAAATTGTAATGAGATCAGTAAAAAAAATCGTTATCGTTACGGTAATTAACAACCTCCCTTCTTATTGTAAAAATCCCATTTACAATAGATTAAATTTTACGAAACAATAAGTTCTATTACATTTTTATTGTTAAGGACATTTTTTTTTTATTTTTCTGATTGCTTGAGGAAAACTATTTGGAAGTGAATAGTTCTCCAATCAAAGTTCAGAACAGGTAAAGCATGACAATTACCGGCACCCGCCCGTCTTCTCCGTTACCCGATATTGTTGATGCAACATTTACTTAATGTGAGGCCAGCGACTCACCGACACCGCATAGATGCTACAGAGTTAGTTAGTTGGATAGAATATAGGTCATGATTTTCTTAAGCAGGTTTTTCGACCATAGTAATTGTTTTGACTTGGATGAGCTTGGGAATAAATCCACGATCTTCTACTTTTTTTTTCCTTGATTTGTTTTCCGTTGATTTTGTTTCCGTGCTGAGCGCCAATGCTACCGACGCATGGAGGCAGGTCCCACACATGGACTCTACCTATCGACCCATCAACTCATGAACCGGGGACCAACGGCTTTACTTCCCTTCCGAAGGAAGGCGTGATCAGTGCCTCAGAACATCCCGGCGGCGCCGACTGGGATTGAACCCAGGCCTCCTGGGGTGAGAGGTAATCACGCTAACCACTATATCATCGGCGCCGCTAAATCTTCTACTCAGTAAGCAAACTCGACTGCCGCCAAGCCAGCTGGGTACCCCCTAGCGTGGGTAGATCACTTTTTCGTGGTACGTTACGGGATGTAAGATCTACCACTGATTTCTAGTCTAGTAGGGTTGCCTGGACCGAGGATGATCTTGAAACAAGGAAACAATGAGTTAGTTTGTCTTCATCTATGTGATTCCTAATCTTCTATTCGTTGTTCCCTAGTTTGAAGTGGTTAAGACTAGGGTTCTGATGCATGGTCATTGACCTTTCAATGACAATGTATCAAAACCGAATACTTCATCATTTTTCAATAGTGATGGAGTAATACAACATGCACTAAACTAAGGACACGGGATATACTACAATAGATCTAATTACTGGTCGCAGTGGTTTTATGTTCCGAACAGAGGAAAAAAATAGCCAGCTGGGTTTCTCAATTTGAATTCCAATCCTTTCTAAAAGATACCTATATAAATAAACAAAAAGAAGGGTCTCACCCGAAAGATCCCATTTACTCCAGCCATGTGTGATAAAAACACTTGGAAAGGCATTCGGCCAGTTCTGAGGACTAGTTACTCCAACGACGGTCAATAAACATGATGATGGGGAATATATACCAATCCGCTGCATAAGGAACGAATGTTCTCCTTTTAAATGCTGGGATTTTTTTTAACTTTATTTTAGAAATTTTTTGCCGAAGGCTAGTTCATCCCTGAAATACTGGGATTGCCGGTCGTAAAAAGCCCGTCTTTTGAACCACCACAGGAAACCTTTCACGAAACACGATCCGCACTCCCGTCACTGCCGTTTGGGTGGCAGAATATGAACATAAAACAAAACTAGTCCCAAATCCTGGAGACACAGCGCTTCCAGGGAAAAAGTCAGCAAGTCGATCAACATACTGCTGCCCGTCTTGAAGCAAACTTCCTTGTGTTCCATTCTTTAAATTACAACATACAAAAAGAGGTTTCCTTTTTAACATATTTTTATTTAGATAATAGGATTCATATGTCCCTGAAATGGGTCTAATAAGCAGCAACTAATAATAAATTAAAAAAAAAAAACAGTAACTAAACTTATAATTCTCACATGAAAACCTTTCATGAACATGGATTAAATATCGGCCTACTGTCCCCATCTTAGGTCCAACAATGGATGTAACTTTAGTCACTCGAAAACAGGCCTTGAAATGAGATTGCTGGATGTTTTTTCTTTCAACGCACTCTGGGTCACTGTTATGCATAACACAATTCTTTTCATTTTTAGTAGTAATATCACTTTGTAAATTCAACAAACTTCGTTCTAAAAAAAAAACCTTGCTGTTGTTCCAGCGAGCGTAGAACAGCAAGAGAAGATGCTGGTGCAAAGCATTCATTCCATGAAATGTTGCAGACATTCCATGAAATGTTGCAAATATTGTATACTAAAGCCCATTTTTGTAAATAGGGTTGCTCCCAAGGCAAACCAGCCAATGGCTGAAAGCCTTGTAAATAAAGAAAAAAAAAATAGGGTTGCTTGCACTCAATTTCTATAAAAAAATGTTTTTCGGAATTATGAAATGATAAGATATTATAATGATGATTATTACTTGTAAGATACAAGAAAAGGTTGCAAACAAGACACATAAAACCTATCATTTTTGCTTTCAGTGCGTCACAATATGCGATTTTACGATTTGTTAGCGCTCACTCTGAGTGAACGCTCATGAGTCATATTTTCGCTGATTGTGACGCACTGATAGCGACATTGGCAGGTTTTATGTGTCAAATACATACATTTCATCGGATTATTATTATTATTTAGCTTTATTTAGGAGGCTTTCAGCCTTAGGCTGGTTCGCCTCCAAAGCACATTTCATCGGAGATAAACCAGCCATAGGCTAAAAATCTCCTTAAAAAAGAATTTAAAAAAATATATTTCAACCTCTTATTGTTTCTGGGTCCCATCATCTTCATCTTTGCATATCAAGCTTATTGCTTATCGCATATTAGCTTCTTGTGTGCTCTCAACTTAGTGTTCTAAATGCACTGCCACAGTTATTAATTGAGAGCTTTCGATGTCAATAGCAATGCACGAATTTGTATATTGCGTGGCAAGCACAATGATACTCTATGCCCAGGGAAGTCGAGAAAATTTCCAACCCGAAAGATTACCTCGAACCGGACCGGGAATCGAACCCGCCGCCTCCGGCTTGGTAATACCGTGCCTTTACTTACTAGGCTATGAGGCCCCTAAACTGTATTTTGGACCCATCTATATTCCTTTTTCATGGGAATCGAAAAAAAAAATGTTTATTTTAGTGCTTGGTTCATAACTTCGTGGGAGTAGCAGCAGATAGAAAAATCGTTACTTGCCATCTTTAGTAGCTTAATACTTGGGATACATTACAAAGCAGATTCTTTGTTTTTTTTTCAAATGTATGCCAAAGTTATACTAAAAACGGTTTTTGAACTCATATTGGATGGCGCTATCAATTTTTTAATGTTTTTACCAATTTAGATAATGATAATCTAGATGACAGCGGATGGCCAATACTTCTAGCCTAATTTTACATTGCTAGGTGTTTGGTATTGCCACTAGTGTAGGGTAGTTACAACCAATATAATTGAGATCATTGAGGTATAGTCTAGAACATCTTTTGCGTAGTTTGAGCTCCAATTTGATGATGATGATGATGGTCCCACCTCTTACCCCTACAAAGGTTTGAGCTGGACGATTTATCTTTAAGATAATTAAATATGACATTTTAACCAGGTTGGCAAACAAAATCGAACTGGTTTCAGTTACAGATATAAATTCCCTCTAGAGTTTACAGTTGCTTCACAGCAATATAAATGTTGAAAAGCTCAGGCGTCCACCTCTTAGTTCGCCTTTTTGTCCACCTAAAATATTCATAAGTATTACAAGCAATCAAGAGTTAATGAACAATCAACAAAGCATCCTATTACACTAGTAACCCCGCAATCTGATGCTATCATAATTTTCAGCAATGTCAGGAATGCTCACGAACCCCAACATTTGCCAGAAAACTTACTACTAACTCAAGGTATCTTCCAAATAAGCTTCAAAATTGCACTTTTTTTATCGAATGTTAAATTCAGTCCTCTATATCCGTAATACGCGCGCGAGGCTCAAACCTTTGTAGACTACTATTTTTTTTACTACTACTATTAAATCAAATATCAAAAATCCATCATCACCATCGTAGCGAACAAAATAGTTTTTGCAGTACTACAATAATTATTAAAAAGTCGTTATAACAGCTATCCATGCAAAATAATCCGTTAAATATAACTTCGTCAAGATACATAATTTGTCAATTCATAAAAAAAAATCACTGGATAACCGTTCAAAAGACAGTTTTAACGTGTGAAATGCAATGTCTCTTAAATTCTGCTAATGTTGTTGAACGTTTAATGTGTCTAGGCATCGAATTGAAAACATTTATTCCTTTAAAAAATAATGAATTCTGTGAAGCACAAGTCAAGAAATGTGGTGTTCTTATTTCATCCGCGTTTCTAGTATTATATCTATGATAGTCACTTCCTCTTTCAATTCGATCACACAAATATCGAGGCAGCAAACCGTTAACTACTTTAAAAATGAACACCATAGTCAAATATACAATTCTTTGCTGCACCGACAACCATTGTAAGGCGTCTAGCATCAAAGTTGAGGAAGTGAATCTATTACATCTCAAAATCAAACGCATTATTTTATTCTGCAAGCGCTGTAATCTCGATATTTGTGTTGCATTGGACAGAAATAAAATGGATGGGCAAAAGTCTAGATGAGGAGAGATGATTGATTTGTATAGCTGTATTTTACTGGCAACAGTTAAATCGTTTTTCAATCGACATAGAATTCCATACTTCTTGGCAATTTTCTTGATGACATTGTCAATGTGAGAGTTGAACTTAAGTGTGTCATCAATAATCACGCCAAGATATTTAATCTCCTGAACGCGATCAATAGCCTCATCATCAATTACAACAGAGACGTTCTCATTTAATCGATTCCGCGAAATTACCATAAATTTAGTTTTACTTGTATTCAATTTTAACTGCTTACACTTCAACCATCTACTTAGATACTGCAAATCTTCATTCAAGTGTGAGACGGCAACTTCTAAATCCTTAGCTGCAATAAATAACACAGTATCATCTGCAAAAAGGTTAATGTCGCAAAACCGTAAAACACTTCGCAAGTCATTAATATACATAATAAATAAAAGGGGCCCTAATACACTTCCCTGGGGCACTCCAAGGGTATTCCCCACGGGACTGGAAACAGAATCATTAAAAACAGTCCGTTGAGTTCTGTCAGACAAATAGCTTTCAAACCATTTATATGCAGTACTCGTAATTCCAAAGCGCTTGATTGTACTTAACAGTAAGGGCCTAGAAATTGTTTCAAAAGCGCGTTTCAGATCCAAAAAAACAGCAACAATCGTATCTTTACGCTCCAAGCTGTCTTTCCACTTTGCTAACATCAAATTCAATGCAGTTTCACAAGAATGACCTTCCCGATATCCCGATTGTTCTGGTATCAACAAAGAGTTGCTATTCATAAGAGATGAACTAGCCTATGGCTAAAAATCTCTATAATAAAAAAAAAAAAAAAAAGTTGCTATTCAAATACTTCAACAGCTGGCCTTTAACAACAAGTTCTAAGATTTTCTCTAATGTATGCAACATGTTGATGGGACGAAACTCTTCGGCTTTAATCGTTCCAGCAACTTTTTGAATAGGAATCATGTGGCACATGTCCATTCTGCAATGATTCATTAATAAAGTCCAGAAAGATGTGGCCAATGACATGAAAGCAATCTTGAATAACTCTAGCATTAACATTATCTACTCCAGCCGATTTTCCTAATGAAAAACAAATAACTCTAAGTTCATCTAATGTAATTGGGTGAAAAACTTCAAATCTGCAACTACTATTAACTGGCTGTTTTATTTCGTCAGGTTCATCGACCAATTCAATAGATTGATTAATCAATGAAACACTGTCTACGAAATAATCATTAAACTTAGCTGCAATTACTTGTTCTCACTGTTCTAATGTGCCATTAAAAGTTATGGACCGCGGTTTACAATTACTAGGTTTTAATAAAGATTTCAAAATTTTCCATAACTCTTTGCTGTTGTTTTGATGCTGATCAATCTTCCTTTGAACATATTCACAACGAGTTTTCTTTATCGATTGTGAATACTTATTACGCGCGATTGTGTACCTAGTCCAATGATTGTCATTATTAGATCTACAAAACTTTTTGTACCATTTGTCCCTTTTCCGTTTAAGACGCAAAAGATCCAAATTGTACCAGCTGTTCGAGTTTTTCAAAGAAACAAACTTTTGCTCAACTAGTTGATAGGTACACGTTTTCAAAGCGTTATTAAGAACAGCTGTAGATTCATCTAAGTTACCGGCCGCGAATGGAAAATCCAGGCTTCTCTCAACAAGATTTGAAACAGCTTGCTTCGAATATTTCCTCCAGCACTTCAATTTTACAAAATTATCGTTATCGTTAACATGCTCTAAGACATTAATCACTAAAGTCTCATGATCGGTTATTTTCAAATCAGTATCCGTTACTGAACAAATGGAATCAAAATTGGAATAAACGTGGTCAATTAAAGTTCTACTGTGCCTGGAAATACGCGTATATTGGAAATACGCGTATATGCATCACCTTGTTTGATTTATCAAGCGATCTTCTTTATTTTGTATGGTATTGACAACTTTGTAATATCTAATTTCAGGTGAAAGTATGGTTTCAAAATAGACGAATGAAACATAAGCGCCAAACTTTAACAAAGACAGATGATGAAGATTCCAGTAAGGATGACTTGAAAGGTAATTTTCAATTATTATGTACAGTTAACCGGCACCTATAAAGCATCAAGATATTGTTTTAGATTCCAATTCAAAGAAGTCATGCCAAGGTTGTGAGCTGCCATCTGACGACATACCTGATTCAACTTCGAACTCTAGAGGACTGAACAATAGCACTCCAAATAACTGTAAATACAATAAAACAAACAATCATTTCAATTCAATACAATCAATTACATTTTCAGCAACACCTAATTCCACAGTTGATGCTGGAACATCATCTGGAAATACATTTAATGCAGACTCCAGTGTTGCTTCAACTGGTAGTGTTGATGATGACGAAGAAGAACATATCAAAGATAAGAAGAAATCGGAAAGCGTAAATATCTCTTAAGATACATATTATAAGACAATATAGCCACTTATCTATTTTGCAGCCTTCAACAATCAGGAAAGATGGTGCTAATACAATCAAAATAATAAATCATTCAAAAAATCTTGAGTCTTTAAAAAAAGATGGAAGCATCAATGCACCTCATGTTCCAGGTATAACAAAGCCTACAACATCTTCAGAAATGAGTACAAACTCATGTACTCAAACGCACTTTAATCACTTAGGATCATATCCAATCATAAGAAATAGAATTCAATCTCACATGAATGCTGAAAGCCACCCTTCAACAAACATAAGTGGATACTACAGCGGTCTGAATAAACAGGATTATGTGCATAAAACGGATATGGGGTACCAGTACACAAAGATTGGAACGCATGGTCCATATATGACCCAAAACATACCGATTCAGAAACCAGAATTTCCTCCCGCTATCAATATCAAAAATATTAGTGCCCGCATGCCACCTGAAAATGCACGAGTACAACCTCATAATGACGGCTATTCTATCCAAAATTCACACTATTATAGCAATGAAAATACCACCAGCAATGTTTCGTTCAACAGTTCGCAATGTTATCATAATGAATACGATGGGCAGCCTGAGTTTAATAGTGGCTATTATGATCCGAAAGTACAATCGTACTACTACGAAGGAGCAGCATACCACCATCATCACCACCATCACCCCAATACAATTGGATCACCTGCAGTACAGTCTCCTATAGAGTATGCTCCAACAAACAATGTTCTTACAGCTTCTGAGGTATCAGAAAATTATAATTTTCATCAGTCATATTACGATCCTCATGTAATAAATAGTCCATTTCATCATGTATCCAATCCCAGTACTAATACAGCGAACATGATGGAGATAAATCATCAACAATCAACCCACGATGTTGTGTATACTACACATGGCAGTAATATGCCCATAAGCTATGGACCAAATAATGGAAACTTAGTTAGCAGTAACGTAAATTCGAACATCGTCAACTTGGAAAATTCTAATTCGTCTTCTGATTTCAATTTTTTGAGCAATTTAGCAAACGATTTCGCTCCTGAATATTATCAGCTTAGTTAATAAAAATCTAAAAAATATTATGTTTATACTTTTCGTTGCTTCCTTGTGTTAATGCTTTCTTAATTACTTTTCTACTCTTCGTCAGCTCAAAATCATAGTTTACAAATAAGACTCATTAGAAATGAATCTTTTATAATGGGTGTATTGAAGTATGTAAATAACAAAGTTATTCTGATGAGCATCTATCAAATATAATAAAATGTCGGGTTATCTCCATACACAGCTTTTTGATGAAAAAACAACACTATCACAGCTCATAAAGAAATAAAATCTTCTTAAGTTTCATAATAAAAAGCTCATAAAGATGACATTTATTATTTACGTCGCGTTCAGAGGGTAGATAATCGAAAAATGTATTATTAATTAATTTCAAGTTCTCCATCGGGAGCTGCTGCCCAATAAAAAAAAAACTTAGGAATAAATCAAAATGTTATAATTTTATTACAATAAAGAACCTTTCACGTAAGTGGAATGCAATCTGAACACTTTACGCGGTAAATTTTTATGAAGCAATATTCATTCAATTTTCTCTTTAGGGACTGTCCACAAACTACGTAGTAAGTTGGTGGGGGGGGCGGTTATATTGGAAATTATCCACGGCCCATACAAAATTAAACTTTTTTGAATGAACAATTGTCTACGCAGGGGGAGAGGGGGGGGTCAATAATTCAAAATTACTGTCTACGTAGTTAATGAACAGCCCCTTATATAGAAATATTGTGGGGTTACTGATGCAATGTTTTTGAAGAATTGAGCCCATTCGAACAGGTTTGTGGCAGTAAGCAGGTATTTGTTCATAGCAGCTGATACAAATCGATATTTTATATTGTTTTTCAGTATGTTTGAAAAAATCAAACTTTTGTATATTATTTCGTCGTGACCGGATTCTTGAAAATTTTGAGACCAAGCTGCAAAAAAAAAATCAGACTCGACCTTCTCCGATTTGCTTGAATCTTTCCATTATTGTTTGTTATGGTTAATTATTCACATTTCTATATGAACATCTCGAAAGGTCATATCTGCATTGATTTTGGAGGCGAACCAGCCCAAGGCTGAAAGCCTCCCTAATAAAGCTAAATAATAATAATAATAATCTGCATTGATCGATTCTCTTTATCGACTTTCTTTTTTGATAGCCACGGTCTTACAATCAGATTTCGCGATATATTCGCCACATAGTTTGATGAATGAGGTTTTCTTCTAGCATTGCAATTTTTTATTTTTTTTTATATGTATATTTTAAGGGTTCTGTTTTCGTAAAAATCTACATTTATCGGTTTTATGCTTACACAGTAAATCGCCTTAACTTTTTTTTACTAGCGACATCTCTTGCGAAAATCAACCGTGCTATTAATCTATTGTACCCTATTGAGAATGTATGGTTTCATTTTTAACAGAAAGTACATTGAAATTTGCGTAGCTTCACATTGCTTGAAATTGGCCAGCACTGCTTCCTTTCAGATAACTGCTGTTCATTTGTGGCTACTGTAAAGTGTGTAGACGCACTTTTTTAAAAGGCGTTCTCGCGCAGACTGAGTCAATCCCACACAACGATATTTTCATACGTTGTTTTGTTATGATTTTTTTAAACAATAATGGAAATTTCCTGATTCCGGAGGCGAACCAGCCCAAGGCTGAAAACCTCCTTAATAATGAAAACCTAACCATTTCCTGATTCAAATTCATTTTCTAGAACTTATTTTCACCTAGCTGCTTTTGACCGCGTTGATCATGTTATTTCTTACCAAACTTGAACGGCTCAGTATTTCTAAAGATTTTATTCGTTGGTTTATGTCGTGTTTTACCAATCGAGAGCTATGTGTGGAAATGGGTTCAGATTAATCGGACTATGTATTTTACAAATAACTCAGGTATTCCTTAAGGAAGAAACTTGGGACCATTGCTATTCACACTATTTGTTAACGAGGTCGGACTGGAATTTCTAACTGGTTGTCGATCTTTCTATGCGGCCAATGTCAAGATTTATGTGGTTGTACGATGTTAAGCTGACTGGTTGCGACTGCAATACCTGATCGACAGTTTCGAAGTGTGGTGCTTGGAATTTTCTCATGTTAAGTCTTTATAAATGCATTATTATCACTCTTCATCGAAACCAAAAGCCAATTGTATTCGATTATACGATCGATAATCACCCTCTGCAGCATGTGGACATAATCCGTGACCTAGGATTCTGCTTGGCGAGTTTCAATGCGGTCTACCTTAATTTTGATATCAACTGCAAAGCGGAAACCTTTCATCACCGGAACCAACGTAGGCTTCTGGATAGGTGATGGTACGGCTCAGCACATGCTACTGCGGTAATGTTTGAAAAACGGTGAATAGCTGACTAGTTCATGTACATCTAAAGGTTTTTGCTAACTGATTCCTTTTTTGTTCCCTCTCACCTCTACAATGAGGACTTCGAGTTGATTCATCAACCTAAAAATCCATGGCATAGGATGATAACAGTTTTGTGATTCAGACCTTACTTACCTTACCAATCTGGCTAAGGCCTTGCTGTCCTCTGCTGTCCGAAGAAGTCGTCTCCACTCTACTCGATCCATGGCCACACTTCGCCAGCCTCGTAGTCTGCGAAGAGTCCGGAAGTCGCCTTCTACTTGGTCGATCCACCTTGCCCGCTGCGCACCTCTTCTTCTTGTTCCTGTTGGGTCGCTTTCGAGAACCATTTTCACTGGGTCGTCGTGCGGCATTCTTAGGACGTGCTCAGTGAGCCCAAGTACAAGAACTCAGCGATCACCTAGATTTTATCATCGCCAACCTGAACTCGGGGTGGGAGGCTAATACTGTCTTCCCTAGAACCTCTTCCTTTCATGTATTTTGTCTTTGATGATTTGATGGCAAGTCCATCGTTACCGCCAAATTCAAAGGGGCTCGAGAGTGTCCCTGATACTCGAACAACGCACATCACTCGATCCATCGTCGCCTTGGCCAATCGCGTCAGTTTATCCGGAAATCCGTACTCGTGCATAATATGCCATAGCTGATCTCGATCGATTGTGTCGTATGTGGATTTGAAATCGATGAACAAATGATATGTGGGCACGCTGTATTCGCGGTATTTCTGCAGAATCTCGAAAATTTGGTCCGTGGTAGCGCGGACACCCATGAATCCCGCCTGATATTGCCCCACGAACTCTCTTGCTAATGGTAACAGGCAGCGGTTTAGAATTTGCGAGAGTACCTTGTAGGCGGTTCTTAGCAGTGTGATCGCGCGGTAGTTGTAATAATCCAAATTGTCGCCCTTTTTGTAGATTGGGAATACGACACCTTCCATCCACTCATCTGGTAATATCTCCTCCTCCCAAATCTTGGCAATTACCCAGTGCAGCGCTCTAGTCAGTGCTTCACCACCGTAATAGCTCACTTGGTAGTTGATTTTGTTGTGGTTGTTGTTTTTCAGTCGACCGATCTCCTCCTCAACTTCTTGAAGATCAGAGGCTTGTCGTCTTCTGCGCGTGCTCCAAGGTCTGTTTCCGTGCCACCTTCGTTTTCTGCTGCATCACCGTTGAGGTGCTCGTCATATTACTGCTTCCACCTTTCAATCACCTCACACTCGTTCGTGAAAAGGTTACCGTCCAAGTCCTTGCACATATCGGCTTGCGTGAACTCTTTGAAATTTGAAGCGCTTCTCGTAGAACTTTCGTGTGTCACAAGAAACTTGCACTGCGGTACTTGCGAACGTTGATAATGTCGGAGAAGAATTTCCTGTCGATTAGAACGTGATCGAATTGGTTTTCTGTGTGTTGGTCAGGTGATCTCCAGGTGGCTTTGTGGATATCCTTGCGGGTGGAAAAGATACTTCCGACTACCATGGGGGCGACCCCGGCGTAGTGGTTAACATCCATACCTCTCACGCCAAAGTCACGAGTTCAAATCTCACCCCCGGACAAGTCACGAATGACCCAAGAGTGTTAAAGTGACTATAATAATAAAAAAAAAAAAAAAAAAACTTCCGACTACCATACCCCGGGAGGCTGCAAAGTTCACGCATCGTTAGCCATTGTCGTTCGATACGGAATGCAGGCTGTTTGGCCCGATTACCGATCTATACATTGCCTCCCGTCCTACCTGAGCATTCATGTCACCGATGACGATTTTAACGTCCCGTTGCAAACAGCCGTCCCGAGCAAAGTCCAGAAATCAAGTTTTGATATCAACATCAAACTGAAATCATAATTTGATTTCAGTTTACGCAATTGACAAATTTGATAGGGTTTTTGATTTAATTTCCGTCCTACTAAGCACAACCCGTAAAGCGCGGTTGTGTGTGCGGTTGTGCCTTAGCATAACATCAAATTGAATACTTGTTTTGTTATCAACAGGAAAAATGGATATCAAATTTGGTTTTCAGTTTGCTCTCACTGATAGCAGAAATAGTTTTCAATGTGATGTCACAGGATGATTTGTTTGCTCTCAATTTTGATATTTTAACCGTTAAAACGACCAAAACGACAGCAACCTGAGTAATCATTATCAGTGAAATCACAACATCAAATTTAGATTTCAATTTGATTTCAGACTTTGCTCTGGGTCATACACCTGCTCCAGCTGCGCATAGAATGCTTATTTCTCGTCATCGGGTATCCCTTGGTGTGGGCAGTGCACGTTGATGATGCCGTAGTTGAAGAAACGGCCATTAATCCTCAACTTGCACATCGGCTGCCAACCACACACGTTGACACATCTTACCCAGCATTACAAAGCCGGTTCCCAGCTCGTTGGTGGAGCCACAGCTCTGGTAGAAAGTAGCCGCTCGATGCCCGCTTTTCCATACCTTTTGTCCCGTCCAGCAAAGTTCCTGCAGTTCTACGACTTCGAAGTAGTGTGGTTGAAGTTCGTCATAGATTAACATATCGCAGTCCGGGAAGCCGAGCGATTTGCAGTTCCATGTTCCGAGCTTCCAGTCGTAGTCCTCATTTCGTCGCGTAGGTCTGTGCCAATTGTTCCGATCCGTATTTCTTTTTCGGTATTTGCAACTTTATGTTTTTAAGA